ATTTCAAACAGGTTGTGCCCCTCTGTACTAGCTACTGCCCAAGACCTTGGAATAACCTTTGTTAGGAAAAACAAGCTATTCCTAAATAAATACTGTCAAGGAACATAACTTGAAATTAAAGTTTTACATTTATAGCACTGCGTTTTTTTATCTGGTTCAGAATACATGGTTAGCCATACAATAACTATACAGATAAAAAAACGCAGTGCTATAAATGTAAAACTTTAATTTCAAGTTATGTTCCTTGACAGTATTTATTTAGGAATAGCTTGTTTTTCCTAACAAAGGTTATTCCAAGGTCTTGGGCAGTAGCTAGTACAGAGGGGCACAACCTGTTTGAAATCTTTTGGTACTATCTCAACATAAAAAAAAATAAAATAAAATGATGATGGTGATGATGATGATTACTGAATAGGTAACACGCAAGGCCTGTTGACAGGCTTTCTGGAGTTTGCATGCACTTTTCTCTTGTTCTGACTGTTAGGGGCATAGAAATTTCCATAGCCACTGTCCTTTCTTCCTGGACACAAATGTTTACACCAGTTACCTGGAGGAGGGATTGTGTAAGAACTTCTATGGCAGTACTATACTATTTAATTATTTTTTTTTAGGGCAGAGAAGTCCTCAGAATCCATCCTTTTCAGCTCTGCATTGTGCTGCTGGAGTAGTACAAAACAAACGGACCACTCCAGACAGTTGTGGTTGTTATGTGATGTTGCATTGTGGTGACATTTAATATTCCTACACTCCTTTATGTAACCTTAATGATCCTTAAATGATCTTTTTTGTCGTGGAATGGTTTCACTTAAGATGCAACCATCAGCATTACAATAGTCATTACTAGTATTAACCTGATTCAGGCCTCACCTTTATAATTCTCAAAAATTTTTTGGATAAAATTTGTAACATTTTCAAGATATTTATCATGGTGTTGGCTGTTTCCAGGGTGAAAGTGGAGATGCTACAGATGACGAGATGGCAACTCGTAAGACAAAAAGTTATAAAGAATATCGTAATAGAAGTGGTTCGGATCCTCAAGACATTGAAGAGCAAGAAGAATTAGGTAATGAATATGGGCCAATTATAGAGATTTTTAAGGTTTTGTTTTTATTTTTTTTTGATACAGAAATTACCCTGGCAGCCAAGGATTCCCCGCTGCGCCCTTCCACAACCCATCAGCAGAGAAGTACCCTCTTCACTGGGTTACAGAGTCACATTGTATAAATATTGCAATAATATACAATATCATTATGAACTTTATAGGCATTTTTCACATGCTTCTGGATGCAGTGCCAGGCGCTTTAATTAGCGAGCCACACTAATGAAAAATGCATGCGCATCACGTGTATCAGCATCCCCGCACTGAAAAAATGTCAGTGGGGCACTTTGAACTAAAGCTTATCAAACGTGTTTTATTTCAAAGCACCCCACCACCATTTTTTCAGCATGGGGATGCATGGGGTTGCTGATACACATGATGCCGAAGGCTGCTGGAGTGCATCAATTTCCAGGCTTCAGCAGACTTGATTAATCAAGTCTGCTCTGACACACTGGATTTCCAGCACATTTGAGCAGGTTCCCCATGCATCTGTTGGAGCCCTATGTTGCTAACAAAACCAAATCTCATGCAAATACAGTTCAACATATATATTTTGAGTGGTACAGAACAGATACAGAAATGTTTTAGAGTTTGTTTAAGTTATGTTGCTGGCTGGGAAAAGCTTTTTCATTATGTAGACAGAAGCAATGCTAATGATGGAAAATATTATTTTCCTTCTTAGATCAAAATATCGTGATTAATGCCTCTACCTCTAACACACTGCCCTCTAGAAGAGCTCAGTCCCTGACTGCATCTGGATCTCCTAACTTAGCAATTGCAGCACCTTCACCAGTGAGACCAGTTTCCTCTCCTGTAATGTCGTCTGCAAGCAAGAGTCAGTCTAGGTAGGCACAACTCTACTTCTAAAAAATCAAATGATTGGTCTACAATTGTGCTTGCGTGTATTCTTCTCCCTTTTCATGAAGAACTGCAAAGTGAGGTGACATTTGCACAAACCTGTGTCAGAAATCAATAAACTGCAATGTATCATTCTCTTTGATAGGCATGCCAAACACATTATTGAACATCACAACATGGCTTAGCTAAAATGCCTTGATCTGTAGAAAATCACAGAGGAGAAGACTGCAGTGAGTCAACCTATTACAAAATGTGGGTTGGGAAGGTGTCTAAGAGCAACGTAATCATGGAACCTACCTTCTCTAATTCTTTGATTTTCTAAACCAGCACAGATGTAATTACAGATGTCTTGCATGTATGGGGAGACAACAGAAATGTTTTAACTGTGTAAAATGAGGTTTGTATGTTGCTATGCACAAGTTATTTCTGCCTTGAAGAACTGAATTTGCCTTAAGATTTCTGGTGATAGTTCCTTTTTTTTTTTGCCAATGGAGTGACGATAGGGATATGTTTTGAAACCTTTCTTTTTCCACAGACTTTTCCCCCCTGTGACCTATGTTGCTATTCAGTCCTTTTTATGTGCAGCAGGTTAGGCATATGATTATGACATGGTATTGTGCAACAATTATATTATTAATAATATGATAGTAATTTGGCATGTAGCCCCGGAGTGCAATTTACAGTGCTGTGTAGGCTACTTCCTACACAGGAAACAGTATATTTGTTTCCACATGGCACTTCAGGCAGGCTAACTAGCACAAAGGCTAGGTAATTGCCATTGTCCTTCCACAGTGTTTATTAGCTTATCTGTAGTGCCATGTGGATGCTTACAGTTTAAGTGAAGACCTTGTTTGGAACAGCAGAGTGTACATGAGATCACTGCTGCTACGCATGGTAAATTTACTGTGTGAACAAGTCATGTACAAGGGAGCCTTCCAATCTAAATTAGACAGGTAAGGTAATGAATAATGTGGTTAGGGATGACAGAGAAGGAGGGAGAGATAACAATAAGCAATGAGAAGGAATTATTGCAATTGGTGCAACTTTATTTTTAAAGAAACACAGCTTGTATATTTATCTTATATTGTGTATTTTTTAGGGTTTTTAACATTTTCTTAAATGGTCCAGAGTAACAGTGAGAGTAGGTTACAGTGCTGAAGTCAAGTATCTGTAGCTGCTTTTCCTTTGCTTGTGTCCTTTTCTAAAGCCCTTATTGTGCTCTTTACTTACAGTTCTTCACCTCATCGTGCAAGATTAATGGGTGTATATGTCATAAAAGATTCATCTCCACTACATGGCATTCAACTTATATTTTTAAAAGACTAACAATTTTAGTTCACAGAAAACTGAGGAAGCATTGTGGATTGATACTCAAGAGACACATCTACATGTCCTCTTTAGTGTGCAGTAGATACATTTGCTGCTTAGTAAAGCATCGCTGTCTACACGTGCATGGCAATTAGACTGGTAGACTAATTTACTGCACTGTTGGATAGTCCTGTCAGATACAAGTACTAACTGGTGGCAGAGTAAATTACTGCGCTTAAACATAGTGTAGACAGTGACATCTGGATTGGTTTACTCTGGCTCAAATTGCACCAGAGTTTATTCAGTTGCATTAATTGCACATGTAGATGCACCCGAGTGGTGGCTTATCAGTTTTGAAAATCGGTATTTTCTTTAATTCACCATAATATGTGTTGTTCCCTAACTGCACATCCCTGAAATTCTGAATTATTCCAAAGTAGCATTGACATGATAAGATTACAAACAATCTGCAGAACCCATATTGAATAGTTTTTCACAATTTCATTCTTATTTTAGGCTAAATCCTGAGGATCTATAACCCCTGGTGACTGTAGTGAGGGTTGTAACTGTTCCATAGGTTTTCAAATTTTATTAAGATTTGGGGTAAGATTATGTGCTGTGCCTCTAATAGGCTTATCTTAGAACTCACAGCCCAGGAGAAGTTGCTATAGTGTCTTTAAATTGTTCCAGTCTTGGGCTGTTCTAGGAGGTATAGAGGCCCAGGGAATACAGTAGATAGCTATGGAGATCTCTCTGAGTTCTAGCAGCCTTTCCCCTGACTGTCTTAAATGCTGCAGAACTGTCTAGAATACCTGGAGTGCTATATATTATATAAATATGTGCGAAGCAGGCAGTATTGGATTCAGATTCAGATTTGGCCCGATTCGGGGGACAGTGATTTGATTTGCTGATTTGGATCACTATCCCAATTCAATTCAGCTGAATCTGAATCTGAAGATTTTATTTTGATTTGGAGAATCAGCGATTTGGCTGTAGACACAACTTTATATGTTTTTTCTACATACCTCAAGGTACCAGGTGCAGTTCATGAATGCTGAGATGGTGGGGCGGATGGAGGGTCCCAGGGGATTGCTCCTGTTAAACGAGCCACTAACCTACATAGGCAAGGATTCTTTGTGATATCTTTTATTGAGCCAACTGTGTAGTTGGGAGAACTGTTGGATCAGTTTTTGGGCACCGAGTGTTCTTCTGGTGTGAGAGAGAAGCAAACACAGGCTAGCTTCCAGCTAAATGGTTAGTCCAATAAAAAATCCTTTCCTCACAAAAAATCCTTGCCTTGGACATTTCCTGGACCGTCATGGCTACAACACTCCAATTATGTTACTAATCTATAGAGCTGCATTGATATATCGGTCCACATCAGATTGGCACCAATAAAAGAAAAATTGACATTATCCGCAGTTGGCTTTTTTTGTCTGATGTAGCCTATAATGACACCAATGAATGCTGCATGCATCCAGGAATGCAGCCCATCAGCTTGGAGAGCAG